TTAATTCCTCACTGGAATGCTCCTCAGCCCTGTCTGCAGACCATCACAGCCTCTAGGAGCACTCATCTCTGTAGAAGAGATCAAGGTTAGATTAGACATTAGGAAGAGGTTCTTCACTGTGAGGGTGGTGAGACACTGGAACAGGTTGCCCAGAGAGGTGGTCGAGTCCCCATCCCTGGAGGTTTTCAAGGCCAGGCTGGATGGGGCTGTGAGCAACCATGGAAGGGGGTTTGGAACTAGATGATCTTTAATGTCCCTTCCAAGCCTAATAATTCTATGATTCTATAAGGTCAGGTTGGATGGTGCTTGGAGCAACCTGGTCTAGTGGCAGGTGATCTTGAAGGTCCTTTCCAACCCAAACCAGTCTGTGATTCTGTGCAATAACAGGAAGTCCAGGCTCATCTTTGTCCATAAAAGAACAAATGACTGAGAGGGATAGAGATTTTTATTTAATCTGATAAAGTTTGGTTTATTTTTGATAACTCTTCACTCTCCCCACAGCTCTGTGGAATTCCCCAGATGGGCATGAACTTAAATAATTTGCCTGTTAATGGTGAGCAGCTTCAAAGCAGGGCTGTGTGGGATAGGTATGGGTGAAGTAAAAGCTTAATATGGAAATGGAGATCTTTGGTTTGTTCCTCTTGCTTCATTTCCTACCCATCGTTTATCACGTTTTTCCCCTTGGGACCTTCTCCAGAGTCCACACAGAGATTTGTTCTTCACCTTGAGTATCCTCAAGGTGTCATTTTGTGCCTCTGGATAATGGTGCAGGAGGTCCTGTCGCTTGGCTTTTCTAAGATAGTCTTCCAAGGGTTTGTGTAAGGAAGGTGACTTTGATACTTACTGGGGGACACAGAGATGGTTGCTTCCCCAGATGCAAAATCTTGTCTGTGACTGAAGCAACCACAAGTGCATTGTCAAGGTTCCCCTCACTGGGAGCTGCTGTCATTTGAATCCCACGGATCTGCCATCAGGAATTTAGAGAATTTAGAGAAACTTAGAGAAAATCTTCCCCTCAAGATGATGTTTTTGAGGAATGAAGATGCCAGCTGTGTTTATTTGAGCTCCACACGCCGTGCAAGCCCCTGTCCCTGCGTGTGCAGCCACGTACAGTGCACAGAGAGGTTCCCTCCTTCTGGATAATGAGTTTACAGTGGATGTCTCTTTTCTGCTGTGCGTTTGAACTCTTTATTCTTTGTTCATTGTAAAGGGCTTAACGGTTCCTGTTCCTTCATTCTTTCATTGGTGAAATGTTTTGGAAGAGGGGTTAGAGTCCCCTTGTGACCTGCCCTGGGTGGCCCAAGCCTGTAGACCTTGCAAAGACATTACTTTTTTGGCCTGAACACAAGTCTCTCAAACCTTTAGCCTGGCTAAATGCTTTGTACAAACAGCCGCATACTGATCTGCTCTATTCTCTTGTGATTTTCTGCTCAAGGGGCTGTGCTGTAGGTGGCTTGCTCTGTTTGCCACTTGCCTTGGTAGTGGAGACAGGACAATAAACGAATCCGACAGTACCGAGGCCAGACTGTGCTTGGTTGTTCCAAGAAAATTATCCTGAAGTCTGGTTGAAGAGATTAAAACCAAGAAGAACTGGCTGTGTCTTTCCTCTAAAGCTCTGTTCTCTTTTGCTTTTTTTTTTCTCTGGGACTTGGTTCATTCCTCCTTCAAAATAAGGTTGTGGCATTGGTATGTAAAATGTGACCTATGATTACAGAAGGTAGGGCTATTTTTATACCAAGCGTGGGGAGAAGCATTGCATTCATTCCTTCTCAGGCTCCTTAGACCCAAGTGCTGTAGCAGCTTTCTTCTTGCTCCTGAGCCCTATTCCTTGCTCTGGTTTCTTCTGTGATATGAATCATTTCACTTCTTGGACATCAAGAGCATTGTTGATGCAGTAGAGCCTCCAGTTGGTTCTTTTGATGAGAATTGCTCCTCAGGCAAAGGTTAATTCAGTGTGTTGCCATTGCTGTAATGTGGGGTGTTGAAGGGCAGCATCACTCCATAAGTCTCCCAGGCTTCCTCCTCCATGGTTCCTTGGTAAGAGGCAGCTAAAGCTGAACTGCTGAGGAGTAACCATGACTTAGGATGAAGTCTGTCTTGGGTTGCTCAGATGATAAACTCACAAGTCTGGTGAAAATATCCAAGACCTAAACACAGGCATTTTCTCAGACAGATTTGAAATTCATGCTGTCGGGAAGATCTTAGATTTCACAACTCCCTGTGTGCTTCCTGATAGATTCCTAGCAGCTGTGAAGCCCTTAAATCCAAAAATAAAATGTATGCCTTTTTTTCATTGCAGTCCTTTTGGGGTTTCAGTTTTCCAGTGTTTCTTCAAATAGAATTAGTACCATGATGTGACCCCATCTTTAGAGGGTAGGACAAGGCAGTTCAGCCAGTTTGTTTGGTACCTCAACCCAGGGACATCTGTGGCACTGAACCCCTCAGGGCCCTTCCATGTCTCTAGAGGATGCTCAGATGCTATTTCTTGCATCTCAAAGTTTTTAGCATCTCAGGTACGTGCTTTTCCAAAGTGGGGGTGCTTTAGGAATGATGTGGCTTTGGGGATAATTTTTCCAGATGGGACAGTGGGGTGTACAGCAAATGTGTGAGGATGATTTATGCCTCACAGATCAGAGTCAGAAAGCTTGGTTAGTCCTCCCTGGTGTGTCTGTGCTGGCACAGGCAAGCAACAGTCAAGTTTTATAGCAAGCCTACAATTAAAATGCCTTTGCAGTTAGAATTAATTAAACCAGTTTTTGAGGGTTCAGTGTAAACTCAGTTTGGACGATTTGCTGGAAGCCGAGCAGTCCCTGTCTCTGTTCAAGTGCCATCCTATGGAAAAGTGGCAAAGTCCAGGGGCACAACTGAAGATGGTTTCTCCTGGGTATGATTCATGCTTTTTCTCTTCAAACTGTAAATGTCAACAGTCATGTAGATACTTTTTCTTTTTATTGTTCATTATTAGTTTCTGGTAGTAGCGTTGGATAAAAGGAATGGGGTTTCAGCCATGTTTGCTATTGTCCTGCAGCAATTGTTGTTGGAGTGATGACTGCAAAGGTGACTGATTGTTTCAATCTTAAAGCTCTTCTGGCATTTGAAAATATTAAAAAGCAAACCCAGGGACATCTGAAAAGTGGCCGCTCTGCCCCTGGAGGTACCTGTGTCTGAGTTGAAGGATGTTCTCCATCCCAGGATTTTAATGGAAGGTGGAACAAGAAAGCTGACAAATGACCCTTCGTTGGTTTCCAGAATTAAAGCAGTTGAGGGACACAGATGAATGTATTAGTCTAATTCATTAGTCTCTTCTTGTTAGAGCCATGGGGACTGCTCATGTGAGTGGGGTCCTATAAGAAGTCCTTAAAAATAGGACTGTAATAGTTTGTTTTCCTTCTTTTCATAGAATCATGGAATAGTTTGGGTTGGAAGGGACCTTAAAGATCATCTAGATCCCACCCCCTGCATTGTCAGCAGCACCTCCCACTAGACCAGGTTGCTTAAAACCCCATCCAACCTGCCCTTCAACACTTCCAGGAAGGGGGCTGTAGACTTTTAAAAAGTCCCTCCTCTTTTGTGGATTTTGCTTGAAAATGAGATAACTTTTGGGAGGAGAAGCATGCGAGAAGAAGACAATTAGCCGTGGAATTGCTTTGCTTAGTGTTTAAGGATAGGACAGGATTTGTCCTTCAGTACCTTTGTGCACTCATGGAGACAGAAGGCAAAATCCTCCTTCCTTATTGACAACTCATCCTTATTCCTCAGCTTTGTGGAGCTGCAGGACCTGTTTTGAGGGTTCCTCTATGGTAGAAACCAAAACAGTTGTCCTTAGATAACTTAAAAGTTGGTAGGTTTTATTTTCCCTCCCTTCTTACTTTCTGCCATCATGCTCGATTGCTTCTCAAGAAAACATTTTGTTCCAGCATGAACATCTTCATTGTCTGCAGGAGCAAGAAAAATCAGCCAAAAGCAGAAACTCCCTCTTGAGTCTTTCATGAGGTTGAGTTGTGGCTTCACAAATTAGGTCCCTTCAGTACTGAGAAGCTGAACGAAGAGCAGAGGTAGAGCTGTTACTTCTGTAGGTAAAGAAGGTGAAAGTTAAATGAAGTTGGGCAAAATCAACCTCAGGGAGATCTTCAAAAGTCACACTTGAGTATGTGCAGTAGTCGGCTTCATGATTTCTACCAAGTAAAAGCCATTAAATGGCATGGAAGAGCAAAGGTCCTCTGATGTGGATTTGTTCAGGTCTCCCTCAGTGGTTTTAGACTTGGTTCAAAGACTGGATTAGAAGAAAAATACATGACTGAAGTATGAAATTTTGGCCAGATTACGCTGGAAGGAGGTAAAAGTGGCCTTGGAAATACTCTCTTGGCTTCCGAAGCCAATGTTATTCAGTTGTCAGATGTCTTCATCCCAGAGAAATAAATATGCCAAATAATGGCCACAGTTCTTCCCGTTTGGGGGGACCGTGTGCCGGCAATAGCGCCAGACCAGATAATGCAAATGATCTGCTGCCGAATAATTAATGATGTGGCTGGGCATATTTTTTTGATGAATGCTTCTGGAGCCTGGTGACAGGCGTGAAATTAGAAAATTCCTTCAGCGCCCTAAAATATAAATAGCTTTCGGAACTGAAAGGAGTTTCACAGCTGAAGATTTTATTGTGTTGAGAGGAAAAACTTTTCCACCCCCATCCCCCCCTTTCTTCTCGGCGAGTTGTTTGTCCATTCACAAAACAAATACTCTGAAGCCCAGTACGGCTCATGGGAATAAATTTCAGGTCGAATTAGTACAGTTTCCTTGCTGTCAGGACGGTGGAATTAATGGTGTTTTGATGACACGAATTTTGAAGGGCGAACAAAGACGCTGAAGGGAGGGAGACATGACTCCTTAGAAGCACGGTCCTCCTCTCCCCCAGCCTCTCTTGTCTTTCCTGTCATCCGTCTGCCAATCTCCCTGTCCATGGTTAGTTAAAGGCGCTTTTTATCCTCTTTTCTTTCCCACAGAGTTTGCCAGATCCGGCCCAGTGCCTGGGTTCCAAGGGGACACGCTGCAGTTGGCCTTCATCGACTTGAGACAAGTAAGTCTTTGTGTTTTTGTTTTTTGTTTCTCTTTTAAGATGTGTGACTGAAGACCATCAGGTCTTAAGGAAAGGGAGAGGAGGGGAAACGGCGTTGGTGATTTACGCCAGAGACCTATATTTCCCCCCCTCCTCCTCCTCCTCCTCCTTCTGCTCGAAGCCACCTCCTTATTGAGCGCTCCGGGGTCCTGGAGATGATGGAGGTGAAAAGGGCTGGTGGGATGGGGGCGAGAAAGAAAGCCATGCCTGACCCTGGCCGATGGGGTCCATTGTGCTCCCGTTGGCTTCTGCAGACATGGCAAAAAGATAACTCGGCGACTCTCCCAGCTGACGCCAAGCAGGTGGTGCTAACAGAGAGAGCAGTGATGCAGAGACCGCCCGCCTGGAGGACTTTTGTTCACAGATAATGCCCCCAGAGGCGTTCGGCGAGGGTGAAGGAATTTGCATTCGGGCTTGTGTGGGGAGGGTACGAGTGTGTGCGCGCCCGTTTGTGTCCCTCTTTGGCTCTGCTCTGCCCTCCCCCTTTCCCCGGTCCCCTCTTCTGCAGATGGTCCCCCAGCCACGAATGACAAAGTGGCTGTAGGAGAAGATGACTGGGGAAGGCTCCACCCATCGGTGCCCACCTCTCGAGGGGGCCCCATGAGAGCCAAGTTGACCATAGCAGGTACTGAGGCATTTGTGGGGCTTGGCAAGCAAATTTAGGGAAAAGGGCCATTCTAGCAAGTCATTTGTTTGGGGTAGAAACGGGCATTATTGATATACTAGGCTGGGGGGGAAAAGTGAGGTGGTCCTGTCATCTCTTGGCACTGAAGATGGATGGGTTGGATAGAAAGTCTGAATGAAGTAAGACTCAATGACTGATGCTTCTCTCCTATTAAAACAATCTTTTTTTGTCTGTTAAACCCCCCTGGCTTTGTCCCTCCTGCCATCATGATGCAGTGCCTCTTGTTTTCAGGGTTGACGTAGTTTGCATTCTGAAAACTTTCGGGTGCTGAGGGTATTTCTTTAATCTGCATAATCCCTTGTATCGATGATCTCCTTACCACTGGGACTCGGATTCATGCTGGAGCCACTTTTAACCCATCAGGGTTTGAGAACTTCTCTGCATCCAATTGATGTGCAGGGAGCAATCTGTCATCCTAATGACATTTCCGTGAAGCAACAAGAAGGTGAATAACGTTGAGGTGCTGCACGTTGGTGTTTCAGACTCGGGCCTGCCAGGGACTGCCCAATTTATTTGTAAAATAGTCAAAATAGCTACATGGGAAAGGTGTGTGTTATCACTGCTCCGCGTTGACACTTTTATCTTCATTAGCTTCTTGGCACTTCATTGACGCAACGCGCTCGCAGCCTCCTGGGTATAAGGAAATGTGGAGGTTTTGGGCCTTTTCCAAGCACGAAGACTTGAATGCAGGGATTTTGAAGAGGAAAGCTGTGGCTGTTTGAAGAATGAAATGCCTTAAAAGTGCTCGGTGAGGTTCAGCTGCTCTGAGCCAGTGCATTAGCGGTGAAATGTTTGTACGGTTCATAAGTGCAGAAGCAGCCAAATGAATTCAGCTCGGGTGAAGAGAGAGCTGAACAGTAGCCCTCTGCCTTCTTCCTCCTGTGTCAAATGGTTGTCTTTGGACATGGCATTTTCTTCTTTGTTTTGGAAGGTAGTCCCAACCTTTTTTCTTGCACTTTAAAGTAATAGTGTTTCTGCATGTGGTGAGGAGGAAGGGGAGATGCTCTGGCCTGTTGAGTTTCAGGTGAGGACAGACAGTCCTAGATCATTTTCTGGATCACAGGGGTGGTTGTTGATGCCACGTGTCATGCAGATCATGGTCAACATCTCGTTGCTCTAAGTAGAGAAGAATCCAGTAGCTTATTGAGATTAGCAGTAAGGTGCAGAGATGAGAATGTTCCCTGTGCCCTTGATCTTGCTGCTGACCTAATCCCATGGCATGTAATGCATGACAAAACTCCATCTGTGTGAAGCTCCCTTGGTTGCTCTGGGGCCATCCCAGTGCTTCCAGCACTGTGGAAGCTCCAGCTGCCAGGCCTGTGAGCAGGGAAGCTGGAAGGACAAATGGACTGAAGGTACAGCAAGAGAGGTCTTTCATTTCTTCTTCAACTTGTTTTTCATTTGTTCTTTCTGGACGTTGCATTCTTTCTCCTTTAAGCCTCTAAATGTTAATACAATATTGACTTAAAGCAATGAAAGGTGAAGAGATACCACCTGAAAATGTTTGTGTTCCTGGCTGTTTTCCTTCGCCCAGGAAGGAACTCCAGCATGGTTGGTAAAAAAGGGTGTTTCCAACCTGAAATCCAGCCAGGCTTCTCAAAACGTTAAAAGTAATTTCAGGTTTATATTTCAAGTAGGTTTTTGTTTGCCTCGGAGCTGTCCTGTCAATTAGTGTGGCTTTGCATGAGCAGGCAGAAGTTGTCTGGCTTGGTTATGTAGGGAGGAAAAATGACTGGGCAAAAAATGCACAAAGTAGGGACGTGAAAGAGATTTCCCCCTCCCTTCCCTGGATGTTCCAGTAGTGGCTCTTACAGAACAATTGTAGGTGAAAGAAAGTTTTCCAAGTAACGTGGGATGATTAAGTTTAAGGGAATGACCAAAATGAATTCTCAGTACAATAAAACATCAAGTGGTAGAAGAATGTAGTGATTGGGTTTGTCTGTTGAATACAGATCGTTGTAGTGGAAAAGAGGCCAATAAAAATGACATTGTCTAGGGCTCTTCCTTGTTCAGTGCAACAGGCTTAAGCATAAGATCCCTCTGTACACTGAGAGCCTGATTTCCTCTGTGAGCTCAAGGAACTTGGGAGCAATTCCAGCACTGTATGGTAAAGAGGGAAGAGACAAACCCAGAGAAAGAAAATTGCTATTCTGAGCAGACAGTAAGTTACAAAGTGACTTTTCTTCCCATTCTGGGATAATTCTAAATCCATAAATACCTATAATGAAGTGATAAAGTAAACCAAGTCGCATCTGAAATCCTTTTATAAGAACTCATTTATAATGAGGGTCTGTCAGCGACACACAAATATTTAGGGCTTTACAAGAAAGCTTTACATAGTTACTTTTACATAGTTACTTTGTTAGTTACTTAGTTGCATGGTTACTTTTACTTAGTTACTTTGTTACATACTTACTTTTCTTCCTTAAAGTTTAAAATTTGCTGTTAACACCCTGGGTTCTGTAGGTTGGAAATCTGAGCTAAATTTCATGCTGTAAATAACCTTTCTAAAAGATGAAAGGTGCCTAAATACTTTCTTTTTTCTACATCCTTCTTTCAAAAGTGACACAGGCACTTCTGTCCAAAATACCACTGAGTGTCCAAATACCCCTGAAAAGCTCCAGGACACTTCACACCATCCCCGAGCCTGCACATGCAATAATTTCACTGTTCTCTCTGCTGCTTCTGGCCAGCTGGAAGTGTTTTAGCTTTTCATTTTCATGGGTTTATTATAAGCAAGTTGGTTGAAGAGGAAGGTTTTATGTTTGTCTGTGAAGTTGCTGCAATCCTCAGCCATGCTGATCTCTCCTAGAAGCCAGATCGACACCCGTGGCTGCTGGCCAAGGAAAATCTGTCTCCAGCACTCGAAGAATTTCACTCTGGGCTCTAGTGAGGGAACGTCCGCAATGGATTAGAGCTCCTTATTCTAGGCCTCTCTGTCTGTCCAGCAAATTATAAATCCTGTGTGTTGAATTTCCTCTGCAAGTGCAAAACTACAGCCTCAAGGGAGATTTAGAGAATGGCAGGCAGGAGCCCCTCTTGTTGGAAGATGTGCAAGGGGTGAGGAGAGGGAGGTTCCATTCTTCTGCTCCATCACTTTTCTGTTTTACTTTATGGTTGCAACTTGATGGTGGTTATGAATTTGAGCATCAGCTCTTCAAACCCCATCAGTGAGGTTAAGGCAGGCAAGTGCTATCACGGGGTGTGGAACAGCTCTTCTGCTTGTGGCTTGTCCAACAGCAAACATTTTATGTGTCTTTTTACTGTGTTTGAAAGCCAGTTGTGGTTCTTGTGGGTTCGTGTTGGATGCCAGCCAGCTGGGTAATGAGAGGTCTCCCTCTGATGCGTTAATTTTTCCCTATTACCTTGGATAGAGATGCTTAATAAAAGAGTGTTCCCCTCAGGAGCACGATTTCTTTCTGCCCCTGCTCTGTTCTTCCCTTCGTGCAGGTTTCCTGTCTCTCCTGCATTGTTTGCATAGTTAACTGGAGTGTTGTTTTGTTGTGTTGTTTGTTTCGTTTAAAACACATGAAATACAAAGTTAGGGGGGAGCTTTTAGCTTTATGAAATGTGCAGTTTTTCTGTCTTTGTGTCCATCTTGATTTCCCCCAATGACTTCTAAACCTTCTGGCATGTCTTGACCATATTTGATTGGTTATTTGAAAATATAAGCCAAGATAGAGGAGAAAAGCTGCTGTGATAATTTATCCCTTAGACTCAGCCTTGCAAGGGTCCACGGGTAAACCTGGATTTCTTGGTTCTATTCTTAGGTTTAAGGAATCACCTGCTCCATTGTAGGGAGCAGCAAACTGTGAGGTTGTTGGGAGATACAGTAATGCTGGTATTTGTGGGTATCCTGCTTCTTATCCAACCATCAGATGATAAATAAGGTGTGTAAAACTCCCATCTGCTTGGTTCTTGGTTGCTTTAAAGGCATGTGAAGGCTTGGACTTGTGCAAGCTGAGCCTGTATCAAGTGACATGTTCTGTCTCATACAGTTGCTGTGTAGTCCAGGGCTTTCAAATCCAGCTCTGGCACAGTGACCAAAGGGAAACCCTGGCAAATTTGGGCTGAAGGGCAAAGGTCCCATGTACCTTGCCATGACACTCCAAGCCTCTGGCTGCCTCTCTACTCTGTTACCTGGTGCTGTTCAGTAGCAGTAGGGTGCAGACAGTCCCTCTAAGAGCTCTGAGGCAGCACCCAGGACAACATGCAAGTTCGTTCCCACCAGACAGGAAGCCCCGGGTTGTTTTTTTTTAACTTGTTTTCATATTTT